AGGTGTGGCACATTGTGTGTGCCCATAGGAAAAGCTTGTTAAAAAGGTAGTAAATGAAATGATGTTACACGTATGTCTGCACTTGTCAAAGATAATTTATGATGTGAAAGCATGCTGTTAAATATTGAATTTAAGGAGCGCCTGGGTGGCTCAGTCGGTTAAACGTCCAACTTCAGCTCAGGTTATGATCTCACGGTTCATGAGTTTGAGCCCCACATCAAGCTCTCAGCTGTCAGTGCAGAGCCTGCTTCCGACTGGCTGTCTCTCTCTCTCTCTGCCCCTCCCCTGCTTGTGCTCTTGCCCTCTCTGTCAAAAATAAATAAACATCTAAATAAATTAATTAAATTTAAATCCACAAGCATACTTTTTTCCAAAAGGAAGATAATGCATAGGGGAGTTCACTTTAGGCTAGAACGTCTGAATTATGGGCATTGTAAATATTTAAGATATTTTATACCCTTTGATAAAGTAAATGTTCCCATAATTCAGGCAAAGTGATTTCCTTTATTTACTATACCTAAATAATGTCCCTATTTGTCTAATTCTTTTTCCCAGCATATCAAAAGTAATAATATTTCACATTAAATATTAGTAAATATTTATTGGTAATTTAAGTAACTATTAGCAATAGAAACAAATATTACTCTTAGAATGCAAAGAACCTAGAAGTCTGAAACAATCGAGTAACACTACACTTTTGTTACTACAAAACAGGAACACTACAAAATTTGCACAATAGTAAGAAGGCTTTTTTTTAACACCACCAGAAACCCACTACTCCTCATTCACTTACTGAACCAGTTCTAGTTGCTTAAAAATGTGCAGTGGAAATCTGGCTCCCGAAAACATCCACTGAATCTTCGATGTTACCTCTGGTTTAGGATCTTTCCAACTTACTCGGAAATCCTTACACAGAAGCAGACCACTCCTATAGAGAATCAGTGACATAAGGGATTTGTATAGATTCAAAAAAAAAAAGGCCTGATTAAAGCAAAACCGGGCTATCTCCAGAGAAATATCATCTGATCAGCCCCCAAAAGGCCTCCCAGATTACAGTGCACTATGGGTAGGGCTTGTAGCTACAGAACTTTGATCTTACAAAACACCCAAAGTGAGTGGGCTGGAGAAAGCTGACTCACCTTCCCCCCCGGCCCCCCAAAAAATACACAGAAAAGTCAGAACCAGTCAGCTCAATTCATATGAAATATAATTGTCAAATGGATGAGAAACCCAAGGTGGTACAGTTAAAGCCATTCCCAATTTGTAGGCTGCACGGAAGTCAAATTGTTTTGAGACTGTTCAGAGAACAGAGCATCAGAACAAGAGAAATGGGTTGACTGAGTGAATACTTAATAGCATCAGACACTAATAGTTTTGTGCATCCATTTCTGCAACTAGGACTCTAGGTTTGCAAGTTCAGGTTGGCTTCTCAGGGCACCCCACCCTGGAGAGTACTTGAATAGAGACCATGAAGCTCCTTTTGCCACACTCTAACCTTTGTCCAAGGAAACATGGTTTCTTCGGAGATGTGGATAGTTTTAGTCCAGTTTTACACTCTCATATTTCTGCCTCAGTCCATAATGTGTTTATTTGCCAGATGAATTCTCTAAACAGATTATTCCCAGCTTTGGGGGAAGAGGAAGGCAGGAATAACGCTGAACACACACACACATACACACACTCCAGGTTATATAGACTTAAGTCTCGGAACTGCTTGGCCTGCCTCTGCCCCTTTTCTAACTACTTCCCTTACTTGCCTTGTGGTAAGGTAGAAACTTTCCCTGTCTCTTT